ATGCATGCAGGTTTATAGCACTATTTATAAATCTCTTGAGTTTCCTCTTGTATTGTTTCTTGCTGAGGGAGCGTGGGATGTGCAGTTCACTCCATCGGATTTTATTGAGGAGTTATCCGCAGTCACGTGTATGCTAGATTCTCTTGAGAAACAACATCTGTTTTCTGCAGTATTTCAAGTTTGAAATGGTGGTGGGTTGTCTTAACTTGTTTAATTAACAAAAGGATACAATTAGATAATGTGAATTACTTGCACTTCTTGTCAAATGGAACATTAACTCCATAAACCGCAGAAGAGGGAGGTTTCCTCAATAAGCGGTTTGCTGATTTTTTTTGGTCCTCAATAAGCTATTTGCTGATTTTTAGGGTATCTTAATCATCTGTTTTCCCTACTTTGTGTAAGTATGGATTCCTCTGGTTTTCTTTCTCTATTGTAAATAGAGAAACCGTGCTAGGCCTGTAAAATAGACACATCTTGTCTTACAGGTGAAAAAGACAATAAACATGAGTGGGATGTAGTCCTCAGGACCATCTGTTTTGCAAATCGTGCCATTGTGCTAACCCAGTTAAGGTGATCTCAGGTCCTATTAGGATTTTTCATATAGGTAAATGGAAAAAAAAATATATATGGATGGGTAGACACTTGAAGTAAAAAGCAGCATGTGTCAAGCACTGGTAGGCATTTGTGTGATAAAAAAGGAAACTAAGCAGCATCGTTCCTCTTGGGACCGTAACAAAGCTGGCTAGCACAGTGTTAGTGCTTGACTGAGCCACTGCTATGACCAACTAAAATTACAAGTCAACACATAACTGTAATTTAAATGAAACTCCAGTGAAGCTCAGCGTAGTCGCTCTTCCAGTGACAGTGGATGTGTTCTTGGAGAGGGTGTGGAACAGCACTTTCATATAGCTTCCTCAAAAATGACTGGCATCCTGCTTTTGCGAGGAAGCTCCTTAAGTTGTTTTTTGTTTAGTCATGTAAGTAAACTACTGGAAGATCATAAATGCCTAGTATAAATAACAGCAGCCTTCAGGCTTTCTTAACGGAAATTATATTTTATCTTCCACCAGTTGTACGTTTCCAGGAACGTAAATGATCCTCAGGATAGCTGACTGTAAGACTTGCAGGTTTTGCCTCCTAAACATAGAGTGCCATAGTAATAAATAGGCATTGTATTTTTCACATCATCTTTCTGCAGTTGATTTACTCTTGTGGATATGTAGACAGTTGCACATTTTGTGAAGAAAATGATTGATTCTAGTGAGTTCCTACAAAACTAGTTCCTATTAATTCCAAAATGATGTATTTTGGGCAGCAGCTGGATAAATTCTTCATAAAACCTCCACCACCACCACCACCCCCCCCGGGTAAAGCATTCATATGAATTGCATTAAATCTTAAGGTGTAAAGTTTATGCCTTATATATTCCTTCTCCCAGGGGGGAAGTGTGATAGTAACAGTTTTGGTCAAATTAAGTACTGATTATTTTGGCTACCTAAATCCAGTTTGTGATCGTAAGTAGATAATGTCTTGTCATTCACTGCTTCTTACCCTGCTGTCTTGCCGCAGCCACACTGCGTGACGTTGTGTAGCTACCAATCTATAACCCAAATGTTGGTGTATCAGAGTTGTGCTGGTCCCTGTGCGATATGTAGAGGGTCTACATTGTATGAGATGCCTAGCAAGCTGCTGTATGACTGTAAATTTCTGTGGGGTTTTTTCCATGCTGTACGTACCTGCTAATTACCAAAGTGATTTATGTTTCAGGCATATTTGCTCTTTCATTGTCGGTTCTACTTTTTTCAATTTTAGAAATGAGGTAATTTTAGTTAGTAGTTATCTCAGCAAGCCTTGGAGAGGTGGAGGTGGTCTGCCGGCCGCTGTGCAGGTACGGTGTGGGCTGCAGGTCAGCATCGCCCCCTCCATGCGTGAAAATCTGGGCGCCGGTTACTTGGGGCAGGGAGAGAAGGATGCTTGCGGTCAGACTGCGAAGGCCAGCCTTGAACACGCTCGTTAACGCCTTCGTTCAGCATCAGGGGAAGCAGGGAGAGGGAAGCGGATGGCGCTGAGCCCGCAGCCCTGTGGAAAGGCAGTCAGCTGAGGCCTCGAGTCAGCCCCGCAGCCGACGGAGCCCTCTTCTCTCCTGCCTGTTTGGCCGCAGGAAGGAAATGGAGGGATGGAGAGGAATAATCGGTAGTGATCTCCTCAGCCAGCCAGCTCCTCCTCTTGACCTTGAAGTAATGAAAAAGGGATAGATTCTGCTGCGCGTTACCTCTGTGTCTCCAGATAATGAAAGCGGAGAGAAACGATCATAAATCTACAGGGCTTTGCCTGTTTGGAAGTCTGGGCCGTGGGGAAAAATGACAGGAGGTGTTTTATTATCGCCCTGTAATTCACACAGATATTCATCCCAAAGTGTTTCTTCTGTGGGTTTTTTTTGCCTTGTACTTAATTTTACGCAGCAGTAATTTTAATTCAGATGAACTCATTCCCTTTTGTTGACTTAAATTTTCTATATGAGAATAGTTGTATTTGCTGAACTGGCAGTAAATTGGTTTGATATTCACATTTTATAGACATAATAGATTTCCATTAGTTAATACAATGGAGTTACACTGGCATAGAACTGGGCCTACGAAAAAACTCAATCCAAAACACACATGTAGGACTTTTTTTAACATTTCTTTTTAAAAGAAACAAGGAAAAACTCCCCTAAACTGTTTCTTGTTTTTATTATACAGGGAAAATGAAGACCGGCCAAGCTTGTAGATATAGTCAAAAAAAAAAAAAAATGAACCTGAAATTTGGGAGTTTACATTCGGATGTAAAACTGCCATACACAGAGTAACCAGAAAGTTGTCTTTGGCAATTTGTTCATTCCCCTCCCAGTGAGATGTAGTTCATTAAGGCAGTTTCTTCTCAAGCTTTAACTCAGAAACTGGGATTAATATGAGACAGAAAATAATTCAGTAACCCTAACGATGTAGTACTCCAGCTAGTGTGGCCAACGGATAAAGCATAGTAACAAGGTGTTTTAGTACTTAGCTAAGGTGCCAAGGCACAGTTGGCCAATAAAATGATGTCACTCAGTCAGTGGCAGGGTTTGGTCAGTGCAAACTGACAGTTTTGTCTTTTAATCCTACCGTGTGCAATAACAAAAGGTCAGGAGGAACTACATTTAAAAACAGAGGAAATGCACCGAGTCCACTAGAAGCGCTTGTTGCACTGGTTTTTCTCAAGAGCTGGCTCTCAAGTGCGACGATGGCTGCACCGGTACTGGGCTCCCCGAGCTCGTTTCCCCCTTCCCAACATGGGATTAACCTCTGAAATGGCAGCAGAGCTCTCGGGAGTAAATGGGACTGTGGTGGAGAGATCTCACAGTTTGCTTGTATTCCCATGATGGAAACATTACACAAGCATTCGGAGCGAAGCTGAAGCGTAAGGGAGGTGCCAAATCCATCGCTGAATATGCAGTGGGACAGGCTGACATAAATACAGCCTGCTCCAGCCGAGGGGGAGGCCAGTAAATCTGGCTCTTTGGAGGAGCTAGGATGGTGATCATATATTTTTCTTTATTTTAATGAGCTCTGCTTCTCCTGACATGGCCTAGCTAAAGTCTTGTTCCTCAAAATCTAGCATCTATTAAATAAGTTTTAATGCATAAAGGCTCGTCACCAACAAACAGTTGAGCTAAGTTGAACTCCAGGTTTGTTTCCAGAGATTGTAAGGTCTTTCATCTCTTTGGATGTTCATATAGGGCCTAATACAGGAGGGCCGTCCTCCACCTCTGAGGTTAAGCTATCAAAAGGGTTGATGGAGTCCTTCAGCCCACATGCTATTTTTAGAGCGCCTTGAATTAGTGGAAATATGAGATATTCAAGGTGTCTAACTGTCATCTTAGGAAGACCTAGGGTGTGAATCCGAAGTGGTTCAGGTTGATCCCAACTGGTCCTGCCCTAAAACAGCCCCACGGTCGCAGCCTTTACCGTGGGCCAGTGCTGGTGCTGGGGACAGGGAAACCCCTCCTGGCTCAAGGTGCTGAAACAGGAGAAGATGAAGCAGATCGAAAAAAGATTTTTCCTGCTCTCCAGAGAGCACCTTCGCGAGGGAGAAGGGCGAGTCCTGAGGCAGGGGAGGTGAGGAGCTGGGCTACCGCTGATTTAAAGTGGCTTAAGCTGTTGTGGACCAGTACCTCAAGATTTCCATGTCACCCACCTGTCTTTAATTGCTGCTAAAATGCTAATTGTAAATAATAGTATAAATACTGTGAGCAAAGCTGTAGTTAACTGTGTAATTTAAGTCTACAAATCTATTTACATATTTAAAAGTATGTAGATGCCGGTGTCTTATGCTAGATCAGGATCTTAATTATGCATAGTTTGAGATAATTGGGTTGCTTTAGCTTCATATCTCAACCTGCTAATTCTAACTACTAAATTAGGATTCAACTGTAATCCATGTATGTTTAGTCGAACTGTTTCAATTTGTTCCTTACATTAAGTAATCAGTCAAGAAAGTGTTGCAGTTAATAATTCTGCTCCTGTGTTCTGGTTTTCTGTGGACGAGGGCTGAGTTCAACACATTCATATCACCAGGTGAATTCGGGCAATTATGTGCTTGCCCTTTGCTGCGTGATTTATTTTTTTTTTTTCCCAGTACATATAAATGGATAAATATTCTGGATAAATATTCTGAGGAACAAGTCAGTCCCAAAGTGTCTTCATTTTGTTAAGGCGTTAATTCTTAGGTTGCTGAGCTAGCCTGTAGTTTGTGGCTTTTATTTTCTCTTTCCTGTCTTTTAGAAACGTAGACTTAAAAATTAATCAAAAAAGTACCGAGCTTGACATTTTTAACAGAAACAAAAAATGTGGTGAAGATCACATCTGCAGCTGAGTCCATGATAAACAATCCAGCCTTTCTCTTAATCTAAGGTTTACATGGGTGGAGTGATTATCTGCTTACAGGTGCAGGAGTATAACTTCATTTTATTGTTCCCACAGATGAGCACCATGCCAGGACTGCCCACGAGGCCGTGCTTCTATGACATTGACCTTGACCCCGTCACAGAGCAAGTGAAAGGATTGTTCTGAGAGTGACGTCCAAATTCAGGTCGGTCAACAGCCTTTCTTTTCCTGTTCCAGCTTGGAGGAGGATGTTTGTGTCTAATATGTATATAACAAAGGTTGTCAGGAGTTTATCTAGGCCCTAGTTTCACTGAGGACTTCACACCAATTGGGGGTTTTGGGGGAATACCTCATAGCACCCTGGGTGGTCGGCACGTCGCTGGTGTCCACCGAGGGCGCGCATTGACGGTGCCGTTTGGATTTCCTGGCTCTGTCGGGTTGGCGTGAGGAGGAGCTGGCTCTGCAACTGTGCCACTCTTGGCTATGGGAAAAGTCAGTCTGGAGAAGTCATGTCACGGTACTCACCTCAAAAGAAAGAATCTAGTTCATCTTTGATACTACTCTCGTGTGGCAGTGTGTTTCTATCATTACCTAGTTATCAGGGGAGATGTTCCTCGGCTTGTTCGTGAGCTTTGCTTTGTTTTTCAGGGTTTGGTTTTTCTTTCTCCTGATTGCTGTCATCTCTCTGAAATGGTAATAAGCATTTCAGGAACACAAATCTGTCCTCTTAGCCTGTATGTTTTTCATGCTGGGTTCTCTCCCTTTTCCTTGAGGGTTGCAGTTCCCCCGCCACCACCTCCTCCCCTCCTCTAAGCACTTAATCATTTTGGTGTCCTGCTTTAATTTTGTGTAACACGTGTTCCTCACTGGAAAATCCAAGTTGTTACGAGAATATTCTGTGCTACTCCATTTAAACCTTGTAACATAATAAGTGGAGTAAGAGAGGATGTAACCCTGAGTGAAACAAACCATGTGTGTCTGTGAAGGGACCCTCTCTTCTCATCCCTTAACCCCCCCCCGAGTAACTCGGTCTGGTTACTTTTACACCGAACAAGAACATTACTAAGAGCTAACAGGGCTGTGATGGGACCCGGGATCAGCCACTGCAGCAACCCTTGCCTGCTCTAGTTTGGGAGGATGGGCTTTCATTTTCTGTTTGTGTTTTGACGGGTTGTTTGGCGGAGGAGAGAGGTTTGCACAACCCAACCAGGTTACTGGTCAGACCAAGTTAACTGTTTGCTGGCCCATGCTGGAGTGTCACAGCATTCACTTAACATCTGGTGAGAGCAGATGCTGCCATTCTGTGTGAACCAGTCAAGACAAGTAAAAAGCAGTTAGCTTGAAAGTTAACCCACATGCACAGGTAATTACTAGCTTATCTGCAAACCACCACCGACTGTTCTGTTGCTGGGTAGTGTTGCAGTGAGTAGTGATGCACAACACTTCTTGGCATATAGCCCATTTTTTCTTACTGATACGCATTATATGTCTGATGGCTTCATGCATACATATTGATTCATCATGTGTCAGTCACATAATTAATACTGAATAATTCAAAATGACTGTAGAATCCTAATGTAAACTCTATATGCAGATTTCCACAGCCTGCTGAATTGGGTGTTTACTGCTTAGTCTTACACAAATCCATCCAAACCATGGATGGGTGAGTTTTGAAGAGCAACAGTGATTAAGCAGATGAAATACTCCATTCTAGCTGTGAAGGCCTTTCACTTGAAGTTGTGCATGAAATTAAAATGTTGTTAAACTTGGCTTTTAGTCAGTGATGATGTTTTCTCAGATGTAGAAAAGAAATGCTAACAAAGTCACAAAAATATAATAGTCAGGTAGGAAATAGTGTATATATCCAACTGTTCATAAATTATTTTAATTTCATTATGGAGGTATTGCTGGCATCAGACAGATGAATGATTTGGTAAGTTTAAGCCTTTTAAAGAAAAAAACTCAGCTTGATCATATATATTCTTTATCTTTGTCATTTCAGAAGCCTGGAAGTTAAGAACTGCAACTTTCCTGTTTCCTGCAAGTCAGAGACAAAAATG